ATTTGAGGGTGCTTCGTTACAGCCTGGCAAGAGTGGAAATCTAGGCTCCCTACTTGGCTTTTGTTTTCCTGGGTGGGAGTCACAGGGTTTTTTTGTTGTTGTTATTGTTTTGTTTTGTATTATTTTTCATGGTGTGTCCCTGGAGTAGAGCAGTTATTGTCTAAAAGCTTTCCTTCTTGCTAGGCTGATCTTTTTCTAGGTCTTAGGACTAGCCAAAGTGGGTTTTTAGTGGGGACTCTTGTCTGTGCCTATTGGAATTTCTGGGTTGCCGACTTCTTCAGCTCCAAGACTAGGATATATGAGGCAAAAAATTAAAATAAAATGAAATTCCCGGAAACTTGAAGTTAAGTCATTCCTCAAGTCTCCTGATTCAATTTCAGTTGCCTCACATGCATGTGAAAATTGGACATTGAATACAGAAGACTGTAGAAGAATCTATGCATTTGAATTATAGTGCTGGAGAAGAATATTCAGACTGCTAAAAGGATAAACCAATCCATCTTGGAAGAAGTATGGCCAGATGCTCTTTAGAGGCAATGATGGGGAGACTTCATCTTTGGACATGTTATCAGGAGAGAACAGCAGCCCATGGAGAAGAACATCATGTTTGGTAAAGGAGGGGGACAACAATAAAGAGGAAGGCCCTCAAGGAGATGGATGACACCGTGGCTGCAACAATGGACGTGAGCATAGCAACAGTTGTGAGGCTGGCTCAGGACCCAGCAGTGTTTCCTTCAGTCGCGCATAGGATCGCTGTGGGTCGGTTGGAGCCGACTTCATAGCCCCTAACAACGACAACAGCTGCTCTTTTCCCTGGCTCTGTGGGGACATTTGGTCTGTGCCCATCATTTCCAGGTTGCTAGTGTCCTCAGCTCCAAGGCTGGGATATATGAGGCAAAAAATTTCCCAGGAACCTTGAAGTTATGTCATTCCTCAGGTCCCCTGATTCCTAGCTGATCTGCCTTCTTCTCCACACCTGTCAGAGACTTCCTATTTTGGTTTTATATGTAACATATGGTATGTCTATCAGAAGAAAAGTATGTCTCCTCCATTTTCCTGAAAGTGGATCCGGCTATTCAATTTTGCAGCCTGACATTTTAAGGGCACAGGTTCTGTGACTGGACTCCTGAATTCTAATCCCAGCTCCGTTGCTAATAAACAACGTATCCTTGAGAAAGACCTTTCACCCTTCATAACTTCAGACCTTCCTTCTGTAAGATGGATGTGCTATTTGTAACCATACCGCACTGAGTTAAAGGAAGGGATAAAGAAGGCAACATATAGGAGCCACCGACCAGAGAAAGGCTCCCAGGGATGGTGGGCACTGGGCTGTGGGACACCAACATGAGGGTGTTATTTCTCAGTTGTACATGTGCTGGGTTTTGTTTTCAAGTGTCAAGAGACATACAGACAAGTGGTTTTTTCCTGTTGTTTTTGAGAGTGGGAGAGAGAAGAGAGAGGGATAGATTGATCTATACACACTAAATATCTGACTTAAATATTTTAGACTGTTGGTGCATTTTTTCAAATCACTCTTCCTAGAGGTTACCCTGAGACCCGACTGCCTACAGGGGTCTCTTCTGTGGAGTTATGCCTAGAGGGCAAAGCCCTTGGGACCCAGTCTGCCCTGCAGCCTGACCTCGCTCTCTAAGGGCAGGTCTATGGGCCATGTCAGACCAGCTGTTTTTCCCGTGGAAAACGATGAATTAGTGAGGCCCTTGGGTATTGTTGTAGTTATTAAAAGTAGACTTGGGATTGGACTCATGCCTCTGCCATCTCAAAAAAACTCTCATTTCTATATCTGGAATGTCTCCTGCCCTCCATCCCTGCTGAGAGGAGACACTCAAGTTCACTGTCTCTACCTCCTTGTCTACTCTACATCTGTATTCTGGCCTACCCCACCTTTCATGACACCTAAATCCTATAGAATCAGAAGAGTGGCTGGTTCTCACTTGAAGACCCCCTTAATATTTGATAGTGTTGGCCCTCACTCTCCCCAGGCTTTCATCTGCACTTCTCTCTTCCTGCTTTCCTGTGTTCCTGGTGGCCTTTCTGTCTCTGATTGCCCTGCTCTCTGTCTCTCCAAGCCCATTTCGGGTGCCTTTGGTCTTGTTTCCTCGTGTCTGGCCTCCATCTCTCTCTGGGCACAGTTTTACCCGGGGATCCGGCTGGGTATTTGTCCCCCTGGGAGGAAAGCAGAGTTGTTGAATGATGAATGATGCAGCACAGGCCCAGATGCTGAGCCTGGGCTTCCTTCTCATTTCGCTGTAGTTGTGTCATTGAGGGCAAAGTCTACACAGCTACATTGTCCAAGCTAGGGTGAAGCCTATTCTTCCCCAAGACTTCTTGCAGCTAGGGTAGCATGGAGACCTCAGAAAGGACCTTTGAGCCTGTTCCTCCTCTTCCTTCTGCTGAGGAGGACTGGGAGCAGAACATGAGTAGGTTATTCCAACTGGGGCAGTGGCCAGGTGGGGGTGGGAGAGGGGCTGCCTTGCCCACCCTGCAGGCCTCCTCCAGATTCTTCACCTGTTTAATTCCTTAGCTGGTTCCTGGTCATGGGAGCATACCAGGATTTATATGAGATCCAGCGGGCAAGGGTTGGGGTAGAAAATTAGGCCAGAGGTTTCCAAGTATGGCTTTGCTCAAAAAGCATCTAGAGAGCTTTAAAAATGCAGCTTCCTGGGTCGCTGGGCTTGCTGACTTGTTCTGGGCTTCTGCACACCTCAGATGGTGTCGGCATGAAGTCGACATTTGGACCAAGGCTGGCCAACTTGCACCTGTGAGTGCAGATAGGCAAAAATGGTGAATCCAGGTAGGCCGCAGTCCCTCTTTCTGCAGTTCACCACCAGTGTCTGCACCCACGCCAGCTCTGGACACTTTCAGTCCCCATGTCCTCAGGGCCCCTTCACAGAGTAACTGAAAGACATGGGCTAAGTCCCAGCACCAAGGGGGAAGGAGGATGTCCCAGCTTGTCTTTGCTTCCTCCTGTCCCCCCAAAGGTCTGCATGATGGGGACAAACCTTGGCTGGTCCTGCTTCATGCCTCTGCCCACTCAGCAGGAGAGTTTTTCCATCAAGGGTATTCATCACGGGACTGCCCCTGACCTCTCTGCAGTGTAAAGAAGGTGACATTAACAGCCTCCTTCCCCGTATGATGTGTAGGCAGCAGCGACCCAGGACTGATGTGATAGCTGATGACAGCCCCGGGGGCTTGGAGCACTGGACAGCACTGACCTATTTCCTCCCTGAATCAGGGACGTTACATAACCAGACACGTGTTGGGGGTGGGTGGGGAGAAGGCAGCTATGCCCATGACCCGGAGGGAGGGTTCTTAACTGAAAAGGCAGCATGAAGCCCCAAGTGGCCATTGTGCATCCCAGCTCATATAAATGGGTTTTTCAAAAGGGATTGATTGAGCCCACTGACTGGTATCTTTTTGGGAATCCGTGGTATTTACCCTCTGCCATACTCAGCATTCACACTGGGTCATTTCTTCTTCTTCCTGTGACCTTACTTTATGAGCATCCTGTCTCGTCATCTGTGTGGAAGCAGTGATTCGAGCAGTTCTGTCCCACAGAGCCTCTACCTGTGCTACCCAGACGCAGTCACCAGCACTGAAGGTAGCTCATTTAACCACCTATGGCCACAGATGACCATATCAGACAGCAAAGCTGTATAACATTGCAAGGACTATTTTCAGAAAATTCTGTTGGCTCCGCATTCACCTTCGTGTTAAAATCCTTGTTATTCAAAGAGCATCACTTTAGTTTACAACTGATCATATGAGTAAGTTGGTGATCCAGTTACCTGTAAACACGTTTTTAAAACCATCAGTACATGCCAGGTTTCTTTAGAATCCCGTGTGTGTCTGGCAAGCACAGAGATGTGTCCAGAGCTGTTGGCCCATCACAGTGGGGTTCTCTCCAGATGCCTGCACAGACATCACGTAGGCCGTTTGTTTGCTGCTATACTTTCATTTTGTGTTTTCCTTTTGGCACTTTTCTCAGCAAAAATATGGCAAGAGGGAATCAAGATTTACTCCAGCGTTAAGCACTCATCACCACCGCTTCTGTGTGGACCCATATTTACACATTAGATCAAAGGGCAGCTGGCCAGGTGTGACACATTACAGGGATGGCCGCTCCTAAGGGAACATGGAGGCCCTCCCTGGCTGCCTGCCTGCCCCCACCACCCTACCCATTTAGGGTTTCCCCCTTTTACTCCTCCCCTGTGCTTCACCCCTACCCCAACTTTCCTTCCCTGCCTGCGCAAAGTAGGTGGGGCTCCTGCTCACTTGTCACCCTCCGGCTCAGGCTACATAATACCACAGATCTTCTTGAGAGTAGAGGGAACAGCTTGCAGTTTTATTCCCCTGGAAACCATACCTCATCATTACTGTTTCTCAATGCACAAGCAACTTTATATAAATTAAGATTTTCAAACCAGCACGGAGTTTGGAGAAAGAGGTGGGGCAGGTTGATCCTGGGGAGACTGGTCCAGAGTTGGGTTTATTTTTAGTGAAGAAGGAGGTCTCAGAAGACCTGGCCAGATCACACAATGCAACTGAAGCTTTACAGAGACTACCCTAGCTCCCACATGGTAAAAAGTTGATCACCAAGAGATGGGAGAGGGGCTGCTGCTTAGGATAGGCCATGAGGCAGGCCTGAGCATGTCCCAGATCATGTTGGAGATGCAATGGAAAGAGTAAGGGGGCAAGGGTGGCCCCCAGATTCTACTCAAGCATCTCATAGGCCACTTGCTAAGATTTGGGAATGGGATGAGGGATAGCAAGCCAGGTGACATGTCCCCGCAGTCACTCAAGGCAGGCTGGTCATACTTGCAGTGGCTGACTCTGGTACTTCTCAGGCCCCTACCCTGAGGTGGCACACAGCATAACAATTCTGTATTATACCCATACAGGAGCAGAAGCCCTTGTAGTCCAGAGACTTGGTAGCCTTGAGATTATCCCCAGTTGACAGCAGCTGTGCCTCCCCTTCTCAGGTGACACTGCCTGGGCCCCATCCATCCTTTCTCACGACGTCCTTGGCGTCTTAAGCCAGCACCCACAGCTATACTTTGGGAGAAGGATGGAGTCCAAAGTCTCAGAAGGTGGCCTGAACGTGACGCTGACAATACGCCTGCTGATGCATGGGAAGGTACAGAGGGAGGGGGGGATATGAGGGGGTGGGAGGTGGCTGGCTACCTGGCATTTGGTTTTCATTATTAATAAATAAATAGGCCCATCCTTATGGAGCATTTGCATGCACGGCGCAAATAACATCTCCCCAGTATACTCAAGACACAGACATCAATTCATGCCTGCTATCACACCCCTGGCTGTGTGTCCTCTGTGCACAAGGGCATCCGTCATGACTGCTCTACACCCAGCCCAGCCAGAACATAGCCTTGACCCTTAACCCCACTTCCTTTATCCAGTGCTGACCTCTTTAGTTGTCGCTCTCTAGTCCCCTCCAATCCAGAATCATCTCCTTCATCTTTCTCTGACTCTTACTTCTCATAGTGACCATCCATTACTTGTCATTGTAACGATTGAACTCACTACTTAGATTGTCCCTGGGTTGGCCAGCGGGGCCCCTTCACACTGTGTCCCCACAAGTAGTTATTTCCTGTGAACATCCCTCACTCTGGATCAGAGTTGTCCAGGCTCATCTTGGACGTTCCTGGTCCCAGTCCTGGACTCAGGTTCCTCCTGGTAGTGGCAGGGGTGGAGTTTAGAGAGCCAGGAACTGGGCACAGGGTGCCCTTGTCTCTCATGAGCATGCAGTCCTAGACAGCTCTAGGGAATATATTTGTGTATGTGTACATGCCACATACCCATATGCACACACGTGCACACATACGTGTACACAATACTTTTCTATATCCGTTTCTCTCTAGTGATACCTGTGAGATCACTCATTAATAACTCTGATCCCAGCCAGTGTCCCAGGACTCCCTGTTTTGCTCCATTTGGGGGGGGGGGTGCTATGAGAAGTCAGTTCCCAATGTCAGTTTGAGGTCGAGTGGGGCAGCTGACAAGGCTTTAGAGCCAGCAGCACTGACTCATCCTAGATTTCCTGTCCGGAGCAGATGGTGCTCACTTCCAGAAAGGCTGGCTCTGTGCCCCAGGACAAGGACCCGTCGGCCTTCTTCCAGCTGTGGTGGCAACTGGTTGAGTTGTTGGCAGCTGGAATGCACACCATACCAGCTCTCTGGGCAGTCAACTAATGACTCCAATTCTAGCAGTAGCAACAAAATCCTGCCCAGCCACCCAGCCTGCACTTGCCATGGGGCCCATATGGGTGGTAACAGCAACCTCTTGGCTGCACAATGCCTGCTGCCCCCTCAACTGTCCCAGGAGTGGTTCTCCACAAGGACCCCACTGCACGGAGGAAACAGCTCAGGCTTGGATAGTGATACTCTTGGAGCTCCGGAGCCAACCTGACCCTGACTGGCATGAGGGACATGGGGCTCTTCATGGGCAACAGCTGGGGCCAGCCTCCATAGAGGGTAGGCGTCCAAGAGCCACCTACAGGCTCCAGGCTTTAGGGCTGCCGTCGGTTAGTGTGTTGTCTTTGAAAAGCAAGTCACAGAGCAAGAGCAGCAGCTTGTCCTTTCACTCACATTGGTGGAAGGGTTTATTTTTCATTTCCTGCCGTGATTCCCTGGGTGCTTAGGTGCATCAACAATAAGCAGCCAGCTGCTCTCCTCTTGGGTTTGCAGCGGCAGTGGGTGCCATTCTGGACCCGGATGAAATGGATGTGGAGCCTGCCTCTGTGAAGGGGGCCTCAAACCAAGAAACCATACCTTTTGCCGTCAAGTGAAGCCAACTCTTAGCAACCGTATAGAACAGAGTAGAACCGCCCCATAGGACTTCCAAGACTAAATCTTTATGGAAGCAAACTGCCACATCTTTCTCACTAGCAGCAGCTGGTGGGTTCAAATCACTGACCTTTCGGTTGACTGCTGACTGCGTCATCACTGTGCTACTAGGCGTCCTTCATGAACAGCCCAGGAAGCTAGTACTCCATGGGAAGGGAGGCCCCTACACTTCTCTCTGGGTGGATTCTGAATCCCCTCATTCTCAGAGTGGAGAGCACATCTCACTCCTCTGCCAGGCTTCTTTTCTTTCTTTCTGCTCCATGACGTCATTCTTTCTGTGTGTTTTTCCTACAGGAAGTTGGAAGCATCATTGGAAAGGTAATTATCAAATGAACGAAGTTCTTTAGGGGTTCTCTAAAAGGGGAGGCATGAGAGAAGTGGCTGCACCTACTCTGGTGCTGTGCCCAGTAGCCCTGCAGTGGATGGATGGCAATGTTTTTAGTCGATATGGCACTGTGCTGAGCCCTAAGCATTTCCAATGGGGTCATGCCCTCTGACCTCTGTAAAGCAAACTCTATTCACCTTCAAGCTCAACACCATTGACACTGGCTCCATAGGTCAGCCTGTTTGTGCTCTGAGATGCTTGGCAGACACCCCACTACTCCTCCCTCGAGGCATAGCTTGCCACCAGGACTGGGATCAGACCTTTTCCTGGGCCTCTTACACTGTGTTTGAAGAGATGCCTGCGGGCACACCACTGCCTGCTCCCTGCTTCACACTTCACACTGTCCAGCCAGCACTGCCAACCCTGCCTCTGCATTAATCTGCCCAAAGGAGCAGGCTCTGTGGGCTGGTAGAGGCAGGAGCACAGCAGGCACGCAGTGCCTGGCACCATGTAGCCCTGACACCCTGTTTGATGTCAGATGGAAATTGAATGACACCGTTTCCTTGTGTCTGCTGTTTATTTCAGAAGGGAGAGACCGTGAAGAAGATGCGTGAAGAGGTGAGTGTACCTACCCTCAGAGCAAACTGCCCCAAGTCCCACCCTGAACCCTGGGGTTTGGAAGGGCCACAAGCAGGAGGAGCAGTGACCTCAGCTCAGGTGCAGGTACGGGAGTGGGGTGCACCTGCCTTCCATGCATTCCCCCTGTACACTGTGTCAAGCACAGGAGCCTTGGTCATCCGTGTGCCCTTTGCTAATTAAAATGTCCCTGTGAAGGGGATTTTGCTGACAAGGACTTTGCTACTAGTGCTGGCTTTGCTACTCGGGCACCAGGCAGATTTGCTGCTGGGGAATGGCCAGGGAAACGATTTTTGTGTTGAATTCGGTCATGGGGATCTGCCTCCTCCTCTCTAGAGTGGTGCAAGAATCAACATCTCAGAGGGAAACTGCCCAGAGAGAATCGTGACCATCACGGGCCCAACAGATGCCATCTTCAAAGCCTTTGCCATGATCGCATACAAGTTTGAGGAGGTAAGAAACCCCTTGTGGAAACAGATGTGGAATCTCCCTCTGGGTACGGGTCGGAGGTACCTAAATCTCCCTCCCACTTTCTGGACAACAGGATGCATGTGCAGCTGTACCCCAGGCTCTACCAGAAGCCTGCTCTGCCACGGTCTCCTTTCCTCTCCTCTGACCTCCTCTGCTCCACAGGGGCTCTTCCCTGATCTGGTATCAAGCAACATCTCTCCCTTCTACTCCTTTAGCTAGACATCTCTGCCACGAATGTTGGGGAAGCCCACCTCACTGATGGCTCTTCAAGCACCTCACTTCAGAGCCTGGAGCTCAGCTCAGCACATCTCACCCTCCACCTAAGCTATACCCTTCTGCTGACCCTCAGGCCATACCCTCTAGCATAGCCCCAGCCCTGTTCTGCTATCTCATGGCTGTCCCCCACTCCTAGAACTCTACCTACCACTGCTCCTCAAACACAGAACCAGCACTGTGGCCAGTCCGACTCTGGGAGAGCCTTGTGTAGCTCAGTTTAGCTATGGCTAAAGACAGAGAGAGACATAAATGTGTGTGTGTGTGCCACTTTGGTTGTGTGCCACAACTGTGTGAGCTAAATCTGAATGTTTTTATGTGTTCTCAGCGATTTTAATTGCCAAAAATTAGTTGGAGGTGCATTTAGTCTATTGAAAGAGAATGACAAAGCTGGTAATCCCCCCCCCCCAAAATTAAGCAATGTGAAATGATTACATATCTCCCACGTAAGAACAAGCAGCTCAGCATTACCGGAGCAGAGATCAGCCCCATCACTGTGCGTACAGACTCGGGAACACAGGGGACTGTCACAGTTGCGTGGGGAAAAGAGAAAGCTCTGATGTGCTGTAGTGCAGGTGTTATGTGGTAGGTTAGGGTCAGACAACATAGAACAGCGGCTCTCAACCTATGGGTTCAGATCCCTTGAGGGGCAAACGACCCTTTCACAGGGGTCCCCTAAGACCACCGGAAAACACATATTTCTGATGGTCTTAGGAACCAAGACCCCACTCTCTAACCGTCTCCAGGTAAATCCACCACATGCAGATACACCCACATGAGTACCCACAGAATTTCATTTATTTGTGATTAGAAATAAATATTTCACAATATATAATTACATGTTGTTTTTGTGATTAATCACTATACTTTAATTATGTTCAATTTTTAACAATGAAAATACATCCTGCATGTCAGATTTTGACATTACGATTCATAACAGTAGCAAAATTACAGTTATGAAGTAGCAAGAAAAATAATGTTATGGTTAGGGGATCACCACAACATGAGGAACTGTATTAAAGGGTCATGGCATTAGGAAGGTTGGGAACCACTACCATAGAAGAAGGTATTCTGTGAGGTTAGAACCAAAACCATACACTAGCTGGGTTACACCCTCAGATCTCTGTTAGTCTCTTCTAAATGGCAACTGTTTGGCCCATCCCCCTGGGAGGGGGTTATACACTGATCATTGTGATCAGTTCCCCCCTTACTCCCCCCACCTTCCCCTTACCCTCCTGATATCGCTACTCTCAATATTGGTCCTGAGGGGTTTATCTGTCCTGGGTTCCCTGTGTTTCCAGCTCTTACCTGTACCTGCGTACATGTTCTGGTCTAGCCGGATTTCTAAGGTAGAATTGGGGTCATGATAGTGGGGGTGGGGAACCATTAAAGAATTAGAGGAAAGTTGTATGTTTCAGGGATGCTATTCTGCACCCTGACCGGCTTATCTCTTCCTTGTGACCCTTCTGTAAGGGTTTGTCCAGTTGTCTACAGGTGGGTCTCCACTCGGCACTCCCCTTTATTCATTGATAACATTGATAAAGATTTTTTGTTCTGGGTCTTTGATGCCTGATACCCGATCCCATCGATACCTCATGATCACACAGGCTGGTGTGCTTCTTCCATGTGGGCTTTTTTGCTTCTCAGCTAGATGGCCACTTGTTTATCTTCAAGCCTTTAAGACCCCAGATGCTATATCTTTTGATAGCCAGGCACCACCAGCTTTCTTCACCACATTTGCTTATGTACCCATTTTGTCTTCAGCAATCTTGTCAGGAAGGTGAGCATCACAGAATGCTAGGTTATTAGAACAAAGTGTTCTTGCATTGAGGGAGTACTTGAATAGAGGCCCAATGTCCATCTGCTACCTTAATTCTAAACCTATGACTGTATGTACATAGATCTATTTCCCTATCGTTATATATAAATATATTTACACATGTACACACCTGTATTTAAACCTCTATAAATGCCCTTTGCGCCACCCCTCACCCCAGTTCTTTTTTCTGTTTCCTTTTACTTTCCTCTTGTCCCACTGTCATGTTCGGCCTTCATTCAGGTTTTGGTAATTCCTCTCGGTTACATTGCCCTTGATCAAGCCCTACCAGGCATTCTACATCCTCCTCACCATTGATTTTAGATCATTTGTTGTTCCCTTGTCCCTGGGTTTGTTAACACCCACTTCCTTTTCTCCACCTCCCTCCTCCCTCCCCCTTCCTGTGTCCCCACAGAATTGTCAGTCCCGTTGCTTTCTCCTCTCCTCCAGATTGTTTATCCCACCTATCTTATCTAAATAGACATGCAGAGACAATAATAAGCACACACAAAAAGACAGAGCAAAACAAAGCAACAAAAGAAAACAAAACAACAAGAAAAGACATGACCTTTAGGAGTGTTTTCTGGTTGAGTCTGATGGGGTGCCATGCCCTGGCCTCACAGTCTATTTTTGGTATTCCCCAGGGACTTCATTGCTCTGTTCCCCTTGCTCTTGTGTTGCACACTCTTAGTGTTTTGCCCGGTGGGTAGGGTCAGATCAGGCACAATTCCCGCACTGTGTCTCCAGTGTTGTCCCCCATAGCACTATGGGTCAGTGAGGGATGTCGTGTCTTGTGGTGGGGCCAGCCCTATGGTCCTCTCTGCATTGGCTGCTCTGAGCAGGAACATCATCCTCAGGGCTTGGTGGGCCAGGATGTGCTCCACTCTCTCCCTCTCCCCCTTCGTTTGCTCCCGTGTGCTCTGATCAGACAGGTCCCTCTCCCTGAGCTATAGCTTCAGTGCTGTCCTCTGAAATGAATCCTTCTCGGGGGAGAGGGGCTGTTCACATAGTTGGGGTTGGGGCTGGCCCCTCAGACCTCTCTGTTGGTTCCCAGCTTCATGCCGGTATATTCCATTCATGTCTTGAGGGTGTTGTTTAGATCTCCACAGGGAGAAAGGGACAAGACTTCAACCTGGTGCACCAAGCCATTATTACTTCTAAGGAGTAGTCTAACTGTACTTCTCTCAGGACAGATTTGCTTGTTCTTCTAGCAGTTTGTGTATATTCAGTATTGTTATTCAACATCATAATTCAAATGTATATTTATTCTTCTGTCTTCCTTTTCCATTGTCCAGCTTTTGCATGCATATGAAGCAATTGAATATTGTATAGCTTGTGTCATGATATATTCAGTTGCCTAATAGTCATCAAGTGACATCTTTGCTTTTTAAGATATTAAAGAGATCGTTTGCATCAATTTGCCCAATGTAATCCATTCTTTCTTTCCCTGACTACTGTTTCTATATCATTGGTTTTTGACTCAAGTAAAATGAAATCGATTAATATTTTAAATAGTTCAATATTTTCTTTGTGTATAATGAAGTTGCTTATTGGCTTAGTTGTGAGGATTTTTGCTTTCTTTATGTTGAGTTGTAATTCATATTGAAGGCAGTAGATTTTGATGTTCATCAATAAGTGCTTCAAATTGTCTTCCCTTTCAATAAGAAAAGCTGTGTTACCATATGGTGAAAAAACACAACCCTGATACACACATTTTCTGATTTTATCAATGCAGTATCTCTTCTTGACCTATGTATAGATTCTGCATGAATATAATTAAGTATTTTGGAATTCTCATTCTTCACAGTGCTATCCATAATTTGTTATGATCCACACAGTAGCACTAACAATTACATAGATAACAAAATATAAGTAAACATCTTTCTAATGTTCTCAGCCAAGATCGATCAGGTATCAGCAATGATATTACTCAGTCCACAATCATTTTTTAAGCTGGCTTGAATTTCTAGCAGTTCTATAACAATTTATGGCTGCAGCTATTTTTTAATTATCTCCAGTCAAAGTTTGCTTGTATATGATTTTAATGATATTAAATTATCTGGTTAATGATAAAAATTATGTGCTATAATTTTCACATTCCACCAGATGATTTTTATTTGAAGTGGACATGAATATGGACCTCTTCAAGTCCGTATTCTGAATGTCGAAACTTTGTAGCAAATATTAGGAGTACTTCCAGATTTGCCTTAATTTCCGTTGGTATTACATCATTCCTGGAGCCCGGTTTTTCACTAATGCTTTCGGTTCACCTTGGACGTCTTCCTTTAGTACCATTGGCTCTTGAGTATATGCTCTGAGGTAGTTAGTTTATTGTGCCAACCTGACCGATAAACACATGCGGGGTTAATTGAAGGGCGGAGGGATAAATGGCTCAATGAGCCTCACCTTTCAAATTCTTGGATCTCTTGTTTCGTGATGGTCGCACCAGGGTGCAGCTGCCTTAGCAGTTCCCTGCTTCAGCTAGCAAGGCTGACTTCCTACAAGACATCCCCAAGGAGAAGCCACATGGACGTACCCCGATGCAGCCCTGGGTGCTGGAGCAGCCGTGTGGACACCCCTGCCAGCGCTGAGATGCTTCCACATTCACTGACTCAGCTTTCCTCCTCCTCATCATTGAGTCTGTTTTGTGAGATGGAGGAGGACTTTGTGAACTGGTGTTGGACATATGGGCTAATGGGTTAATGTTGGACTTGTGGGCTTGGGAAGCACTGGGTTGGGATGTTTTCTTGATGTACACATAACCTTTATATAAAGCTCTCTCTTATACATGAGTTTCTGTGGTTTTGTTTCTCTAAAGTACCCAGACTAACACATGCTCCCTCCTGATGTGATTGAACATCAACCAATCCATTTGGGTACAGTAATTTTGTGTATAATGTCTGTCTTTTTTGTGTATAACTTCTGTCCTTCCTGTATCATTCACTTTTGACTGCATAATTGAAATGTATGCACCACTATTAATGCCAAAGATGAAGAAATCAAAGACTTATGAACTGCTCCGATCTGAAATTGATCAAACATACAGTCAAGATGCATTGATAATTACCAGTGATTAGGATGTGAAAATTGGAAGCCAAAAAGAGGATCAGTAGTTTGGAAGGAGAGCATACAATAGAGTTCTGCAAGACCTACAACATATTCATCAGAAATAAATTTTTTCAACAACACAAAAGACAACTTTACACATTTACCTTGCCAGATATAATACACATGTATCAAGTCAACTACATCTATGAAAAGAGACTATGGAGAAGTTTAATATCATCTATCAGTTCATGACCAGGTGGTGATGGAGAAACAACCCAAAAATTACTCATATGCAAGTTCAAGTTGGAGCTGAAAAAAAATTAAAACAAGTCCACCAGAACCATGGTCTTATGTATATGCCAATTGAATTTAGAAAGCATTTCAAGAATAGATGCCACACTGAACACTAATGACAAGAGACCAGAAGAATTGTAGGATGATACTAAAGGCATCATAAATGGAGAAAGCCAAAGGTCATGAACAAAACAGGAAAGAAAGAAAATACTGAAATGCTATCAGAAGAGACTGATACTTGAGCACAGAGTAATTAAAATACCTGGGAAAAATGACAAAGAACTGAATAGATTTCAAAGAGAAGAACATTCTTTGCATTTCTCAAGCAAAACTGAAGCAAAAATTCAAATCTTGAATTGAAATGTCTACGTGACCTACAGCAAAGTATTTTTCCAAGTGTAGTGAGAAGCACAAATAGGCTATTCTGTGTGGCTACCTCCAGTAACAGGATTTGGCAGTTACATTTGATGTCAGCTTGAACCTGTGTGAAAATGTAATGGGGAATCCAACCTGTCAGTAAGGTCACAGCCTGATGATGCCTCCTTGGGTGTGTGTGGCCTATTTTATAGGAGATGCTGGGAACTTGCTTTTCTTACCCTTTGATTCCCCTTCACTAACTCTGGGTCTGCCTCCTGGGGTGGCCCCATGCGGGCCTCAAACCTAGAGAGCTACTAACGCCCTGCCATGTTCCCACCAACGTTGGATCCACTCGACTCTAAACCCACCAACCTATGATCTCCCTGCTTCCAGCTTCACATTTCTGCATCATTGGCCTTCAGCCATGTGAGTTTGAAGAGGGCTCTGACTAGCATCACACCCATGGACTTGAATTGGACTGGGCTGGGACACCTTCTTGATATGAAATTCTTCTTGATAATAGAGTTCTTTCTTATACATATATGTCACTGGTTTTGTTTGTCTAGACAGTCCAGCCCAACACAGAGGGCTTCTTTTGACAACAACCTTTAGCACAACACAAAAGAGGAACATAAAAGGGAACAACAAGGGATGGATAGGAGTCTGAGTCCACCAAGGTGTCAAACAAGTGAGAACCAGTACCAAATCACTCCTCTCTCTCTGAAGGCCCCCATGAGCATCCTGTGGTCCATGAAGTGAGGTCTCCCTTCTTAAGTACTTCCTCCTAGTGCACATTCCCTGGTGCTGCAAGTACTAAAGCCCCTTTTCCCTCCCCCAGAATCTTCTCTAAAGTCTCCTAGGGTACAGGGAGGTGAGGCCAGCATTCCGGCCACTCCTCTGCCCGCCTCCCTGTACACAGAAGCCCCTCTGTGAGGCTCCCTCCTCTTCACGGAAACAGCTAATTCAATGCAGCTCTGAGCTAGTGTTCCAAGCACTTGTTTCCATCCTGCATGTGAGCAGAGAACCTGTTCCCATATGTGCACAGCGAGTGTGGCTCTGCTGTGGACACACCATGCTGACAACCTTAGGGGCGCACCCATGAGTCCCTGAACTGTCTGCTGTGCCTCAGATCCATAATCGCATAGTCCACCTGCCCAAACACTGCGCCTCAGTTCACAGCTGTTTTGCACAGGGTCAAGCAATATCCATGCTTAGGCTGTCTGGCTGCCTACCTGTCTCTGTCTCACCTTCCATCTGTTCCTTGGTCACCCTCTGGGTCAGCAACACACTTCAAGATCCACTTTCTATCATAGACTCTAGAGACCCAGAGATCCCACGCTCTGTGTGCCTGGCTTCCTACCTCACTGCCTGCCTTACCCTCACATTGCTGACCGGGCTGGGTCCTGTGTGTCAGTAGCCTCCTCTTTCCTTAAATAACTCTTCATATTCATGTACATTGCTCTTGTCTGTAGATCCCTTCAGGGCCTCAGCAGTTTGTAAGGATGCCTCAAGCCTAGAACCTATCCAAATCTTGGTGTAGGCCTACCAATCTTCTCTGACTAAGCCCTGTAGAGCCTGGCTCCTTGTGCAGGGCCTCATATGAAACATCCCCCTCCCCCACCTCCATGCCCATCTTGTCTATCAGCCAGGACCCCTTTGCCCCTCTTCATCCTGCCCGGCCCTGTACCCTGCTCGGTACTTGCTACCTGTCACAGGGTGTTGTCTCTGTCCAGGAACATGGATGACCCTGCACTGTCCCCTGACTGCCTGTAAGTGTCCGGAGAATGGGGCCTGCTTGGCTCTCTCAGCCTGGTGCTCAGTGCCACCTGGGCTGAGAACAGCACTGCAGAGCCTCTGACTGAAGCTCTGAATCCTTGGGCTTGGGGAAGTACTGTGTACCTGTTATGAAACAGGAGAGAATGTGAACTCACACATGCACTTGGAGTTTGCATGATGTGTGATTTGCCTATCAACTTGTGTATCTGTCTCCTCCCTAGGACATCATCAACTCCATGAGCAACAGCCCTGCCACCAGCAAGCCCCCTGTGACGCTGAGGCTGGTGGTCCCCGCCAGCCAGTGCGGCTCGCTCATTGGCAAAGGCGGTTCCAAGATCAAGGAGATCAGGGAGGTAAGGATCCCCATCCTGGCCCTGGGAGCAGGGGCACTCAGCCTTCATCAAAGAGCATCTTCTGTACTGTCCCCACACGTCAGCACCTGGGTCATGCTGCCATCCTGCAGGGAACCTACAGGACAGGGACAGTATGTACATAGATAGACTGAAACGTGGGGACATCTGCAAAGTGCGTAGATGGAAATGTTAGCCGCACACTGTAGGTCCCGTGTGAGGAGGGTGTACTCAGCTTAGGAACCCCAACTGGGCTGGGGGTGGGGCCTCCCAGGACAGGTATGTGGGGCTGTGCCACAGCACCCGTAGGTGGTGTACTCAGATTGAGGGCCCTAGGCTGCATGCTCCCTGCTGTCCAGAGGCTTTGAGGCTCTCCTTTGCGGGTATCAGGCCTTACTCTTGGGGGAATGCTCAGCAGCTCTCCAGGTTGCAGCTGGATAGAGCCAAATGTGGAATGAATTTTATAGGTACACATCCACTGTATACCAAAAAGTCTTAGTCATCCCCTCGCCCAGAAAGACAACGGTCACCCAAATCTCAGTCCTGATCCTAGCCCCTCTGTGAAAGTCAGTCTAGCATTTTAGGACAGGAAGGGAGGGAGTGTGGCCAGGGAAGGTGTTCAAGTTACTTCACATCCCCAGTGGGAGTTTACGGTGCTCCTAGCCTCACACACACACACACACACACACACACACACACACGGAAACACCCCTCCTTGGACGTGCTTTCTCTGTCTGTCTCCCTTGCTTCCTCTGTCTCACCTTCTATGCCTGCCTTTTTCCAGTCTACAGGTGCTCAGGTGCAGGTGGCAGGGGACATGCTGCCCAACTCCACCGAGCGGGCGGTGACCATCTCAGGGACACCCGATGCCATCATCCAGTGCGTCAAGCAGATCTGTGTGGTGATGCTGGAGGTACACTGTCACCTCGGGCACAACTGGCTCCGGGTGGCCTTCCACATCCTCTATAGAGGCCTGCCCTGTATCCCGAGAGCCTGTGGCTCAGCCTCACAGTTACTACCTCCTTGCATTCCAGACTTCCAGCACATGGCAACAGGGGTTGTTGTGGGCATGGGTGCCTGTCCTTGTCCTGTCGACTAACTCTGGCCATGTGTGCATGGCACAGTCCCCTATGAGGTGTCTCGGGGGATGTATGGAGAAGAGCAAGCCATTTGCTTACCCTTGAAACTGGAGGAAAAGTGGTTTGGGCTTCCACATGGGACTTCAGAGAAGGGTCACTAGCAGCCTTCAGCATGAGGGAAGTCTGGGGGGGAAACAGTCCTGTGAGAAGTTCACAGGAGTTGGATGGCGGGGAGCTGCCTCTGCCTTCCTCCAGCAAAGGGGTTGGCTTCAGGGGTGGAGAGCTAGGACTTGCATTCTGGGTGGTTGGGAAACTGCTCTTTCAATGAGGACTACAACGGCAGCCACTCTTTCTGTGGTCACAGAAGTGTGCGGATGGTGGGGTCAGAACAGCCATTGAGGTACAACAGGCAGAATGATGAAACTCATATCAAATGCCCCAATTACGCAAATGCAAATAAGTAAATAAAAGGATTAAAACAAAGAGAAGGGTGAAGAAGATACAATAGCTGAAAACCTAAAAGTTTTCCTTTAAAATACTGGAGGTAAAACCCTGAAATTTAAATTTCACAGGTGCTCAAAATGAAGCCAACATGTGAGACTTTAAATGGAGAAAACTTTGGTCTGAAATGAAAACTGAACCAGCTGCCTCACACTAAAGGCATCTTAGCTGAGCCAGGCTCCCACATCCTCCCTGTACTGCCTGGAAAGGCAGACTTCCCTCTGTCAGTTCCTTTCTGACCTGCAGAGAGAACATCCAGGTTTCCAGAATGACATTCTAGTGCTTCCCTGCTTAGAGGGTGGTCTCAAGGAGGGTTATCCTCCCAGCCCTGGCCTGGGGGTCTGCATCAGGAGGTCCAGTCCCAGACCCCTCCTGCAGCCCCAGTGCCTTCTGTGGTGGGAAACATTGCGGACAGCATCCCATACCTGTAGTCAGCATTTCCATGGAAACTAGAGCCTCACCAAGCAGATTCGGAGATAGTGGCTTAATGCCAAAGCCTCTTGCTCAGTTTTAAAAAACAAAACAAAAACGTAGTTTTTATTTTCCTGAAATATATCAAAGCTATTTTTTCTTAATATTCTTGTTAGAAAGTTTCTTTATAAATCGATTACGATGTCACATGGTTGTGTCCTGCTGGTAACTCAGGACAGTCTCCCAGACCGGCTAGAGCTGGAGGGCAATCATAGGGCAGGCAGCCCTTCCCAAGACTGTGACTAAGGCCTCTGGGCAGGACACACCACACTATTCAGAGGAAGGCACCTGAACAAGGTGTGGCATTTGGTCAGTGAGCCTCACACAATGTAGTGGTCAGACTGCCCCACAGAAGCGAACCTGACCTCCGCAGTTCACGGGCCATCAATGCAACTGACTGGGTCCTTCTGATCACCTCGGGGTTTAAGTGAGATAAAGCCTATAAAAACATGTATGAACTCACATGCCAGCACATAATGGGGTACAAGAAACAGATATCTGAGCTGAAGCTCTCAATGCCAGAGGGGGCAGTTAACTCCCTAGGGAAAGTAATCCCCCTAGAAACAATGGGAAATTTTAAATAGTAAATGAAGCAAGACATGCTTGTAAGACCTTCTCTCTGATCAAAGAACTCTTGGGGTTGGTCGTGGGGTGTGCCTCAGATGCCCTTGAACATATGAAAGGGACATTCCTGGTAAGGGTGGGGCTGGAGTTGGAACTTTGGGGTACTTTGGTTTGTTCCATGAAAAACGTAGAGTTTGGTTGATGCAACCGTAATCTGCCCCAGTTCGTGCACAGACATTTTTTAAAGTGTTTGGTCTTAACCACAGAAACACGACCCTTGGAGCCAGGCATCACCACAGACACCAGCCTGGGTCAGCGAATGGCATCCTCCCAGCAGCCTTTTCCCACTTTACAGCATGGTTATCCAATCTGCCCAAGGTCTGCCCCAAGTTAGGCAGTGTGTTCTAGGTGACGATGGCATCCAGCGGTCCGTCCGCAGTAGTTGTTATACTCTTCACTGCGCTCACTGCCCCTCTGCCTGGCTGTCCAGTAGCCTCCACATGAAAGGCTTTCATTGCTACCGGATGCCCCCAGACTCAGCACTCTCCAACACACACTTCCAGAACCAAGCCCACGGGTTCTGCACATGAAGGCCAGTGGCAGCGCAGAGGGTCAACTTGGAGCAAGAAAGGCCATTTATTGCTGACCCAGGAGAAGAACCACCGCTGTAGCACTTTGATGTTTCTGTGATTCTAGAAACTGTCTTGTATACAAGCAGGTCACACATGATGGACAGGTTTCAGCAGAGGGGCCAGAGAATGGTCTGCTGATCTCCTTCTGAAAAGGGTCCATGAAAATCTTACGGATCACATCAGAGCTTCGGTGGCTGTAGTCCTAGCAGATGAGGCCTTAGGTGGGAAGGCACTCCAAGGACACAGTGGCCGCAGCAATGGACTGGAGCGTACTGACAATCAAGGGGTTGGTGGAAAACGCAGTGATGCCTTCTGTTGAGCGTGGAGTCTCCATGAGTCCGAGTTGCAGCAACTAACAAGGAGCAGGAAGTGTCATGTTGAGTTATCAGAGCCTGAATCTGATTTTCCAGAATTTTAGCACTTAAGAACATTACTCACTCTAGAATAAGAATGTGCTGCTAACCACCATGTCAGCAGTTCAAGCCCACCAGTGGTTCTGAGGGAGAAAGATGAGATTTTCTGCTTCCTTGAAGATTTACAGCCTCTGAAACCCAAAGTCGTAGTTTTGCTCTGGTCTACAGCATCACTGTGAGTCAATATTAGCTCGGCAGCAATGGATTTGAAGAAAAGAATCCTTTTGGAAGCAGATCATGAAGCTCTGCCATGGCGGTGGGGTCTTTCATTTGGAGGAATGTGGTTGTGAATTTCAGTGTTTCTCTTTTCTCTGGGTTGATGTCTGCAGAGCTGTCCCCAGATTGGGGGGACATTTGAGAGGTTGGTGGGGAGTTTCTGTAGTGGATTATCTGGAGACTTGAAGAGATTTTCCATCTTTGTGGATCCATGGTGGTGGACAAGTACCACTACTCCGTGTCTGAGTGGACACTGGTACTTCCTAATGGATTCCAAATTCTGCCAGGAGGAAGGTGCCCTCACCCTGGGGAGCCCCTCCTGTTCTCACCATCTTGGGAACCAGCACACAGTCTCTCTGCAGGCCTGGGGCCTCACAGGTCCGGGGTGTGCTGGGTGGGTGGTCAGGTCATGGAGGAACCCAGCACGCCAGCAGGTGCCACTCCTGCAGTGCACCAGCCAGGGCCATATCCTGTTTGGAGTACCACCCCAAGCTGCTCCCACCAGCACTGCTATGGCACACAGCAAGGCCCTTTGGGGGTCTGTGGAGGCAAGGGTGGGTGGGTAGGAGGAAGACGAGGCCCAGGCACACTTTGGGTGGGCGTGGGAAGGGACCTCCCTACTGTGCAGCCAAGTGTCTCTAATGCTCTCTCTCCCTCTCCTGTCCCTTCTCCTAGTCCCCACCGAAAGGTGCCACCATCCCCTACCGCCCAAAGCCCGCCTCCACCCCTGTCATTTTTGCAGGTGGTCAGGTAAGAGCCGACCCGCTCGCGGCCTCCACGGCCAACCTCAGCCTTTTACTGCAGCACCAGCCGCTGCCTGTTAGTGCACTCAGGTTTTCTTGCCTTCGCATGTGCATGTCTTGTCACAGTGGGGCACAGAGCTCTTCACAGGGTAGGGCAGGGACGTGGGCTGGGAGGGCCAGGAACTTCAGGGAAGTTCCTGTTTGTGGCCAGAAGTGGACTAGAAGGCCTGTTGCCAGCAGAGGGCACTGGGCCAGATCTCTTCCAGCATCAAGCTCCTAGCTTGTGTCTTTTGCCCAGGGAGCTGCAGCCAGCCCCAGGCCACAATGAGGTGGGGGCTGGGGGGTGAGGGGTTGTGTCCATCTAGGCTTGTGACTTAACCACAGGTCCTGGATGCATGAGAGAGACTTTGAAAGTCTGAGTGTGTGGTTGGCTTCGAAGAGCTCTGGGTCCACCTCAAAGACCGTGTCGTTAATTAAGGGAGAGTTAAGACAGAGATATCCCCAGAGTGGCCTGGAAGTGGGGAGAATGGGGTATGGTTTTATCACTCAAAAATAAAGAGGAGCATGAAATGACCTCGATGTTTTATTCTACTATGTAAAGGAATCTTATCAGATGCTTTGTATTATTTACATATTGGATGAAGGGGCTGGAATATTATAATTATCAACTTAAGTCAGCCCATGTGAGGTGAGGCACAGGCCCCCCACCACACACACACCATATGCCTGTTCCACTGCCGCTTAGCTTCCCCCCTCCCCCCACCAGCACCATGAGCCTTCCCATGGCCACACTGCGTGTGCTGTGAGTCCCTCACCATCAACCCCTCATGCTTCGAGTCTGAACTGCTCTGCTCCTTGCTGTAAAGAGTCCTCACCCACCACAGTGCCGTGAAGCACCCTCACAGTGGCCCTGGAGAGGCTCACAGGGGCATTTCAAGGCCCAGCGACAGGGAGCCACCCAGGCCTCTCACAGCACCAAGGGCCCGTGGTGCTGCCGCTCCTCCTCCGCAGCTGATTCATCACAGGGACACCAGCACGGCCTGGCATACAGCCACAGCAGGACGGTCAGCACAGATTTGGAGACATCCCAGTCCAAACTTCTTTTCTGGGACTCAGCCTGAGCATCCTAGCAAATCCAGGACATTGCATCATCAATTTTGGATTGGGCTGAAAAGTACATTTGTACAGCTGAGATGTGGGCAGTGACGAAGTCGCTGTGAGAGCTCCACCTTCCCATCCCAGCCTCCCTCCTCCTGTGAGGCACAGGCAGTAGTGCCAACTCCTACAGTTAAAGGGGACTGAGGTCACTGGCAGATGGGAGGCACCATCATAGTGGGGCTCTTGTCCCACAAGTTTGTCCCTAAAATGTCAGGCATCTTGAAGCTAGGTGTCCTGTGCCTGGGTGTGCCAGTGTGTGAACAGGGGTATGCATCCACGAGGGAGGGCAGAGTACCTGGAGCTCCTCTGCTTGGGGACTCACTGGGAACTACATGAGGTGTGAATAGGACCCAATACAGAGAGGCCACCCACCGAGGGCTCCTCTTGTGCACTGAGCCTCACCTGCTCAGTGCAGGGTTCACAGCAATCTAGAGCTTGGAGAGCTGCAGAATGAGAGCTGCCTGGTTCACTTTTGAGATTCCAGTGTGTTTAGGAACTAGGCATGGACCCAACTCAGGAATCCATGTCATTGTCCCTGTGAGGCAGGACACTGAGGGGCTGAAGCTCCCCTGGACTGTAGGCTGAGGATAGAGTATCCCAGACATTGCACTGCTTGATGCTCACAGCACAAGACACAGTAAAGGCATGCCAGCACCCCACATGCTGACAGCACCTTCAGGGGAACACAGCAGTGCTAGACTAAAGCAGATCAAATGAAGGAGCAGTTTATTCAGGCATGCTAAAATGGGTCAGGATGGAGATTAATCATGCCAGGAATGAGCCCCTTCCCTGGGACACACAGGCTAAGTCCCCAGGGACAGACCAGGCCAAGTATTGCCTGGCTCTGAGGGGTTAGGATGGGTCCAGGCTTGGCTAGATGCTGTGGCACATTGTAGCTGGTATCAGAATGCAACTGTGGGCAGGGTCCACAGACCCCATTCTTGTGACCCCCTATAGAATGTGCAGCCAGTGAGGTCCACAGACCCCATTCTTGTGACCCCTATAGAACATGCAGCCAGTGAGGTTGTGTTCCTAGTTGCTAGGACACCTTATAACATCTGATGCGATTCGTTTACCACCTGCAGGTGGGAGGTCCCTCTTCAAGTTGGGCTACACCTCACCTCACCAGGATGTTGATTGATCATAACCTCCAGGAACATTCTTGGTGTCTTCAGAACCTGAAGAGCCACCCTTTGTCAGAACAGGCATGTCTTCCGCAGGCCCAGTGATGCCCACATGTAGGCAGGAGGATGGCAGGACCCCGTATGGGAACTCCACAAGGAGGAGTACCACCTGTACACCCTTCCAGGCCCCAGTCCTCGGCCTGTCAGGAAGGACGTTGATGTTGCCTGGGAAACACATGACAAATTCCCCAAGTTTCTGGCCGTGTGCCTTTGGTCTGCACTCTCCCTTCATGCATTGTGGTCTTTTTTGTGTTTTGTTTTGGTTTTGTGTTTTTCCTCTGAACCCCTGACTAAACACCTGAGGCATGTCGGGCGGGGGTGGGGGTTGGGGTTAGGGGGGTGGTCCCAACTGAACATCGCCTCTGTCAGCTACATTGGTCTTCAAAGCAGGGAGAGTCAGAGGAGCCTGCAGGGTTAGCCAACTAGTTTGTCCAAGTCACTGTTCTTGAAATCCAGACATGAGCTCCAAAACCCACCTGGTGGCCCTGTGCCTGTCGGTGCAAGTGTGCAGCTCTGATGGCCCTCAGCAGAGCAGTCCCAAAGATGAGCTGGTCACCATATGGCCAGTTTGGAACCCTTTCTAAAAATTTTAGGTGTGTTTTTTGGGGGAGGGTTACTTTATTTTGTTTAGTTTTCTTCTGGTAAACATTTTCTGGAAGTATTTACTCTATGGCTTGATCAGATTTTTATAGGGCCAATGATTAGAAACCTTACTAGAAGGTCCAACAAATTGTTCTTGGTTTTGTTTTTGTGTTTGTGTGTTTGTTTCCTTTTAAGAAAAGTGGGGAGAGTGAAAGGAAATCCTCCAGCTCAGTCATCTGGCGCTCCAGATGACTCGGTCAACAAGGTGCTGAAGCGGGGTGTAGCCCCAAGAGGCTGACCTGCCCCATTGTGATTGCAGGTCACTACAGTCCTTGTTTCTAAACATTCAGTCCCTCCCTCCAAGTCCCTGCCGGGAGGGTCTCCATGTGTCCTCTCCATTGGGGACAAGGACAGGGATGCACATCCGGAAAGGAAGCCCAGCCGGAGGCCCTTCATGGACAGGGTTGTCACAGGGGCACCATCAGGGTCACTGAGCGCCTCTGGGCAAGCTAACAGTGTCTCTCTTTTCCAGGCCTACACCATCCAGGGACAGTACGCCATTCCACACCCAGATGTGAGTGTCCCCTCTGGCCCCCTCACACCTTTTCTTATTTTTTCTTATTTTCATTTACCCCTGCATGATGCTGTTTAGTGACTACCAATATTAATATTACGCAATAATATTAATACATTCCTAAATGTTCCTGACCTGTGTTGTATCCACATTACCTTGAATAACCTTTTAACCTCTTAGCACTAACTGTACTCTCGGTGAGGACTTGGCCTGATGTAAATTGCTTCGGCTATCTGCTGCAGTCCAGGGCTGCCTGCACGCACCTGGTGCTCACTCTCGGACAGGGTCCGTACACACACTCCCCCTCCCCTCGCCCACCCTGCTGCCTGCCAGAGCCCCGGAGGTGGCCTGAGCCAGACGCCATGGTGGGCTAGCCGCTAACAGTGTTTTAGGCAGACCCAACAAGTGAGGTATCTGTCGTCAGGCAAGCCACCTAAAGTGTGTTGGAAAGGGGGATTTGAACCCTTCCCAGAGACCGGGCCCTTGCTGGTGTGGAGAGGCAGCTGTGGAGTCCCTGGAGTGGGTCTTCCCTTTATTCCAGTCAGTAAACACTGCACATGTGTGTAGGCCCTGCACTGAAAGAGCTGCTCGGAGGCTGGGTTGTCTCAAGTTTCTAAGAATGTTTCCCGGGTGAATGACAGTCAGATATTGTACTAGTGCTGAACCATGGAGTGTCCTAAACGAACTGTACAGGAAGAAGTTCCAGAGCGCCCATGCCCAGCAGGGACGTGTGCCTCGGTGCCATGCCCCAGAGCCTAAGGGGCAGCCAAGGGCTATGAGGGCAGACCAAAAGACAAGGAAGCCACACACTGCAGCCATGGGCACTCTAATCCTTCCAGACCCAAGAGATAATGGCAGCAACCAGGGAGCAAGGCCTTTTGCTTGAGAGGATCTTCAGTGCACTGGTTAATGAACCTGGGTCTGACAGGATCCTGAAGAGCCACCCTTCTGTCTGGAAGGAGCGAAAGGGAAGAGAGGAGACAAGGAAAGGAGGGAGCAAAGGAAGACCAGCTGCTGATAACAAAGGGAGCAAACCTCCCCGAAATTAATTTTGAAAAGCCATTGCCTTCATGAAGCCATTTTGAGTATTTACCCAGCTTAGCAGCTCTTCCTCATAAGACAATATATGTGCCCACACAAGTGCCCAGGGCCAGGTAAAGACGTGTATCTGATTGAGAGCTGAAGGCAGACCAGGAGAGATTTTGTTAAGAAACTAGCACTAACCAAGATAATTTAAAATACGGAAACTTGATTCAGTATTATTGCAGGAAGACTTCTGTTGAGTAGAAAATAAATCCTAATGATTTTCCCTTTATAAAAAGCGACGATAGACAGCAGACATACAAATCAAATAATAGAAAATCACTGCTGGATTTGGGTCGTCTTCTTGCTTCCCCCGGGGCACGCCTTGAGGCTGCTGTGCCTCAGCTTTGGATGGTTCCCACCATACTCTCCTTCAGAGTATTTCATTCCTGGCCCTTGATAGAGGCTGTCTGCCAGGCCCACCTCACACCCTCTATCTTCCTCCTGATGGAAATCTCTTAGTAGGGCTTTAACTGGCCCAAAGTCATTGGCAGTGCTAAATAAACAGGACCTCTGCAGGAATGAGGAAGGATACAGCTGTCCACATTTGGGAAGCTGGTTGGTTATTGTCCAGTTCCGTCCAAGGCTCACTCCAGTCCCTGTTCTGCCACCAGAGCATTGAAGGTCTCCTCAGAGCCCATGGGCTCCCCAGCTCCCACTGCCTCCACGTGGCCTGGTGCCATGGCTCCCCCATCTTTCCTCAGGTCCCCTCTGATTCCCTCCTCAAATCACGTGGGGAGACCAGGCTGTTAGTGGCCCCCCTCCTATTCTCTGTGTTACTGGGAGCGGCTAAGAACGGTGAATGTAAAAAATAATAATAATTAAAAATAAAAAATAAATTAAAAAAAAAAGAGTGGTGAATGTATGAGCCCATTGGGGCCCAGCATTTCCCTCAAAAATAAGAGTTGTGGAAATCTCTAAAATTCCCACAGCGGTAGGCAGAGAGCAGTCCCTGTAACTGAGGGAAGGGGTGTCCTGGAACCCTTCTGATCCCAGATAGGTGGTAGGTGTATCTTCACTGGTGCCCTTTTCCTAGTCGGCCAGACAGCCCAGCTGAACTGATGATTCGAAGGCAAACATGAACACCTGGGAGAAGGGGTTTGTGATCCCAAATGCAGAAACACTCATGCAGAGCATATGTGCATGTGTGTACATGTAGGTGGGTATATACATGTGTTGAATGTGTCTGCACACGCACATGTGTACATGCATATATGAATCCATGCTCATATGTTTGCATGTTGGTGTGTACACTTGTGAGTGAGTACACAAGGGAAACCCTGAGCGTGGGTAAGTTTAGTAGCTCAAACAGAAGGCCTCAAGTAGTGAACAGTCAATGTGAAAGTTGGATTGAGATGAGAGGACAGCACCGTCATCATTTAGCACTGGATGCAGGAGGCCGTACACCTTTAAAAAAAATGCATGTGTGTCCAAAGGTCGATGAAAAGCCAGGTTGTTTGTATTATTCAAACTCTAGAACTTGAAGGAAAATACAGTGGTCTGGGGGCTCTAGTGAAGGGCATTTTGCCAGGTAGGGTTAAAGTGCATTATCCTTCACCAAAGAGCATACATAGTTTCATAGTTGCCTGAAAAGACCCGCTGTGATTTTTGATAAATAAATGTTCCCTAGGCTCTCTGTGCCAGTAAAGTAGAGTCCTCACACATGCCTATTGGGGCACGAACATTTGACTTGAAGCTAATTCTCTTGTCTGAAACTTCCAAAGGTGTGGTGTGTGTGTGTGTGTGTGTGTGTGTGTGTGTGTGTGTGTGTGTGTGTAAGAGAGAGAGAAAGAGAGATTGATTCTGATTGAGAGAAAAAGGTTTTGATTTATTTTTATCAATTGGTTGTTTTGATCCTTACCATTATGTCTTACATAAATGGGTAGTTTCACATATATTTGTTTTATAATAGTTCAAACTAATTTATAATTTTTTATCTAATTGACTCATTGCCAATTATGAATATTTAAAATATTCTGTTACTGATTATGTGGGATGCAGCCCCACAGATGAATGGGTCTTTAGAAATGGCATGTGCAATTCAGGAAAATAAAGAAGACAGAAAAGACGTGGCACAGGGGTCTCATCCCGATGTCGGAATAAGAGAGTGAGTTTATTTAACAGCGAGTTTATATAGCAGGGAGGCATGCAGGCCTCCATCAGGCACATACACAATAAAATGGGCAAAGTTGTGAATCCAGGATATCCTGAGTTCTTTAGGAGACACTAGAAGTATCAGGTATCTAAGAGACAAAGGAGTAGTTGACTCCTTGGGTGATAGGGACAAAGGGAACCTGACTGCTTAATATATAGGCATCTTTTAGCTGAGTAGTGAGGAGTCAGGTGCCTGTGGGAGACAACTTTATGTTAGCATCGTAGCAGTTGTAGAGAAACCACTTTTCTATCTGGAGAATGTATAGCTGGCATTATCCCTGTCAGAACTCTGGAGGTCTTCCTTTTAAAACTATAGCCAGTCTTCCAAGCCCTGAGGTCATAAGTGTAGAGCTTAGGCAGTTTACTTTCATCCAGGTCCTCGGTTTTCCATGTGAATTTATTCCATGCTTTCTATGCATGGAATTCCACTTTCTATGCCAATATCATATAACTAGGTGAACAGCTGCTATTGACCAAAATAGTGAAATATTTCATCATGCCTTTTTTTTTTTTCAGGCATGTAAAACTGAAGACTTGGGTAGTCACTTAACTAATTACTGTTCAATTTTTAAGAATCACAAAACAATTGCTTAGTGACATAGGTCATGACAACTAGGAAGGTAGTTTATGTCCAAGTTTAGTATTTAACCAGACTTAGGAAAGTCTCAAGTTTTAAAAACACAAATATAACACTTTTAGAACATTGAGTTAATGTCAGTACGACTTAATGTGTAATATGACAGAACACACTATTTAAAAACCTCAACAGAATGGCTGGCACATGTACACTATCCTTTTTTAACAGCTTCATCTTTTACCAGCCTGTGCGACACATAGATCAGACACATAAACTTTAAGAAAACGTAATCCCTAGATCTAAGTATTCGTTATCTAGAACCAAGACATTTAGGTTTTCTGTGCCCTGCTTTGTACTTTAAGAATTATCAGTGTCACCCCTACCTCTACCCACTTCCTCCAGGCTGTCAGCATGCCGCTCACATGGTTTCAACAAACTTCTGTGGAAACTTAGGGTCTTTCTGACACCCAGGTCTTCCAAAAAGGCATGTGCAGTGCTGGGTAGTGGGAAGAACATTGGGTGCCAACTTGACATTGGTAGGGTCACTAATTTGTCACTGACCTACCTGACCCACAGGGCTTGAAGACAGCTCACATTCAGCCTTAAAAATGATCCACGTGTCCTTAGTCTGCCTGCCAGATGCCAGGCCAAGTCCAACTTCAGAGAAGAGGAGAAAGAGCACAGAACATACAAGATGCATGCACAGCTCAGGAAACTTAGAAAGCCTAGGACATGTTACAGCCCCATTTGTCCTCTCCCCCAGCAATTCTGTCACTGTAATTATAGTGTGCATCTATATAGGAAAGGAACTGTGTCCTTGGGGAGGAAATCAGTGAATTTCAAAAGCACTCTCTTAATATGCAAATCTTTATTTCTAGTCTTCAGTGGTTTCAAATCACTGCCTTCCTTAACACCCCATCATGTAAAGGGAATGCTAATAACTAACAGATAATGAAGTTGACAACATGCTATAGCTAACAAAGAGCTTGTCCATGCTACCTTATGTGACCCTGGGGCTGAGCCTTATAAGTAGATAGCAGGGCCGTTGTTCTAATTCTACACATGAAAGAATGGGAACCTGGAGGCAAACCAGGTCAGTTAGTCTGTGTGATAGAACTGGCACACTTACCTGTGGGGCCAGCCCACAACTCAATGGGTCCTAAGGAGTGGTTGAAAGGGAGATAAA